CCCCAAAACCCCAAAACCCCAAAACCCCATCATACATTATAGAATTAAAAATCTAAAGATGCATTGATAAATTAAGGGAAATCAAAATTATTATCTGTGATGACTTAATGCGGGTAGTTTTACTTCTTTAAATGGCTCCTCTATGATCCCAAGGGTTTTCTAGTATTGGTTGATTTTATCTTGTCTAGTCCTCGAAAAATTCTAGAAATGTGAAGATTATGTGCCATTATATATTTGACTGTCTTAAGCAATACTGTTAGTATTAGATGGGCTAATAATAACTGAGTCATATCTCTTATTTTATCTAGTTGGGCTATCTTTCGTATCATAAAAAGGCTGCATAAGTTATGATGCATTTTTCCTTAGAGCGTGTCCTTCATCTCTTGAGATCTCAGTTATTCTAAGAATTAAATTAATATCATTTTTAAATACTTTTTATTGTCTGGTAGCACACCAAGGGGTCCAGTAGGATTGTTAAGATTCCATTCGTATGGATGTCTATAGCCATTATCTATAACAATTTTTTAAGTCAAATTCAAATCTTTGTGAGATTTCAGACTTTATATTCCATTTTACTATAGTATCTTATCACTATCCCCTATTGGTTATTATTCAATAGTTTAGAAAGAATTAGACACCTTAAATTTTTAAGTGGGGTTTGTCAGTGTGCTTCCAAATTATAAATCATTCTTGTACCGCCCTGATCTCTCTGCTACCTTCATTCTAAATTCATTCATATTAAATTGGTCTTGATTCTGATGATAAGCGACTCTTTTGTAGTCATCTTATGTGAGGTCAATTGAGGAATCCATATATGGCATTTTTTCCTTAACTCCATACGTTCTTATGCTTTAACCAACAGGAGAAACAAATCTTTATTTGTTATACTTAGATTTCATAACCATTTTAGACATAGATGGATATAATTCATTCTGCATCTAGAATTTAGTCTCTCTATTAAACATTATATTAAAAAAACAAATGAAATGCTGGTAGTAATTTACGCATATTTTTGTTCATCAAATGGAGTGAATTTTGAAACTGAATTAGGGCTATCTCCTCCAAATATGTATTTTTTACCTAGCTAATTTCCTATGTTACTTAGTTCTAATTTTTTGCTTTTTATTGCCTCTGCTAATTGAAATGGATTAATGAGCTGATTCTAATTTAATCTAGAAGCTTATCTTTCATTAAGAGGTAGTTCATTTATTTTCCCCATCTACAATCCTACAACTGTTGACCTAAATTAATTTTAAATTAGGCATGATATACTTATATAGATGATTTCTTTCTTTTTCAACATTATCTTTCCAAAACTAATCTGCAGCCACTCGATTGACCCTCCATCTGTCCAAGAAGTCATGTTTTTATTCTTATAATTAAGCCTTTGGCTAAATTTGGTAATTTTTTTGCATTTTTATTATTTATTAAAATTATATTAATGTCAAAAGTTTTAGAAACAAGAAAAAGTTCATTTCAATTGGCAGCTACAAAAGAAAAAGAACTTTCACACATATTATCACTTGCTTATGTAAATAAATCTTAATTCTAATTAAATTCCAGCACAATCTTTATAAATGCTGCTTTACATGCTATGAGCCTAAAGACAAAGCCTATTACGAGAAGAAATTAGACATAGCTTGTGAGGATCTATGCTATAAGGATTTTGTATAAATATACAGTCCAGGTGCATTATCAACTCCTGAATTGAATGATATGACTGATGAAAGGGATGAGTGTCTGACACATTGCTTCATTGCCAGAAGGGGTACAACAGATGCAGAATTATGCATAGAGAAGTGCAATGAAAAATTTAATCAACGAATGGGCAAAGTACTCCTTGGAGTAAGCAATGTTATCAACAATAATAATGTAATTTGAAATAATAATTAATTAATATCACAAAATTGCTTTAATAATTTTATGGGGTTTTGGGGTTTTGGGGTTTTGGGGTTTTGGGGTTTTGGGG